ACTTAACATCCCTAGAGGCAGATGCTGCTATCAGCCCCATTTTATGGTCGGAAAACTCAGGCCCAGGGAGGTGAAGTACATAGGCACCTAGATAATAACCTAGGTGGTATGGCTATGTGCTGTGTGGTGTGCACAGGAGCAAGGCTTTTAACTCTGATGCCATCTACCTGTTATTGGTTCAACTTGGATATCTTTTTGGTTTTTTTTGAAATATACACATATTTTCTAGTAGAGATAGAGGTTGTGGCTCATGCCTGTAATCCCAGCACTTTGGGAGGCTGAGACAGGTGGATCACTTGAGGCCAGGAGTTCGAGACCAGCCTGGCCAACATGGAAAAAAACCCCTCTACTAAAAATAAAAAAATTAGCTGGGCGCATGCTTGTAATCTTAGCTACTCGAGAGGCTGAGGCAGGAGAATCACTGGTTCCCAAGAGGTGGAGGTTGCATTGAGCCAAGATTGCACCACTGCACTCCAGCCTGGGTGACAGTGAGTCTCTGTCTTAAAAAATAAATAAAAGAAAAAAAGATACCCGGGAGCGGTGGCTCACGCCTGTAATCCGAGCACTATGGAGGCCAAGGTGGGCGGATCACCTGAGGTCAGGAGTTCAAGACTAGCCTGACCAACATGGTGAAACCTCGCCTTTAAAAAAAAAAAAAAAGAAAAAAAAAGATAAAATAGACGGAGTTTCACCATGTTGCCCAGGCTGGTCTTGAACACCTGTGCTCAAGCAATCTGCTCACTCCAGCCTCCCAAAGTGCTGTGATTACAGGCATGAACCACCATGCCTGGCCCTATCTGGATGTCTTGAGCACTTCAAGCTTGTCCTGTCCTAATCTGATGAGTTCCCCTCCCCCTCCATCTTGTCCTCCTGTGTTTTCTTTTCTTTTTTTTTTTTTTTTTGAGACCGAGTCTTGCTCTGTTGTCCAGGCTGGAGTGCAGTGGCACAATCTTGGCTCACTGTAACCTCTGCCTCCCAGGTTCAAGCGATTCTCCTGCCTCAGCCTCCTGAGTAGCTGGGACTACAGGTGCGTGCCACCACACCCGGCTAATTTTTTATATTTTTAGTAGAGACGGGGTTTCACTGTGTTAGCCAGGATGGTCTCGATCTCCTGACCTCGTGATCCGCCTGCATTGGCCTACCAAAGTGCTGAGATTACAAGCATGAGCCACGATGCTCAGCCTCCTGTGTTTCCTATCACAGGGATGGTTCCTTGAGGTTGGGGACCAAGTCAGAAATTCTGGTGCTCCTTCTCCACCTCTGCTTACTAACTACCCCTGCCTACTGTCTCCTTGCCACTCCATCCCTCCTCTCCATGCCCATTAGTATAACTCAGGTCAGCACCATTGCTTGCCTGGCTCTTGATAACAGGAGTTATCTCCTTCCTGCCATTCGCTCCCCAGACCACAGCCAAGGAGATGTTTATAAAAACAAATCAGATCATGTCACTGCCCTTCTCAAGGCTTCATTAGCTTGCTGTTGCCTCAAGATAAAGCCCAAGTTTTTTTTCAGGACTGAGTCTCCCTATCACACAGGCTGAAGTGCAGTGGCACAATCATAGCTCACTGCAGCCTCAAACTCCTAGGTGCAAGTGATCCTGTCCCCTTAGCCCCTGGTTATTTTATTTTTTGTAGAGATGGGGTCTCACTTTGTTACCCAGGCTAGCCCAAGTATCTTAATATGGCCTTCCAGCCCATCATGACCTGACATCTATGCGACTTTCCCATCCTGTAGTCCTTTCTCTCTTTTTTTTTAAGCTGGAATTTCACACTTGTCACCCAGGCTGTAGCGCAGTGGCACGATCTTGGCTCGTTGCAACCTCTGCCTGCTGGGTTCAAGAGATTCTCCTGCCTCAGCATTCTGAGTAGCTGGGACTACAGGTGCCTGCCAGCATGCCCGGCTAGTTTTTCTATTTTTAGTAGAGATGGGGTTTCACCGTGTTGGCCAGCATGGTCTTGAACTCCACACCTCAGGTAATCTGCTCTCCTCAGCCTTGCAAAGTGCTGGGATTACAGGTGTGAGCCACTGTGCCCAGCTCTGTATTCCTCTCCTTACCATACTCCTGAACTTCTTGCTATCCAAGGAATGTGTATCTCCCTTAGGGCTCAATTCCCTTCTCCAAAAACCTTTCCCTAACCCTCCTATTTTATTAGGTGCCCCACCTATGAACTTTCATAGCATGTGAGTTCAGCACCATTAATTGAGTGCTTATTATGTGCCAGGCATTGTTCTAAGGTCCTTCCACTGACTTATGAGGTAGGTACTAGTAGTATTTTCATTTTATGGAGAGATTAAATGTAACTGCTTATGTGTTTACGGGCAACATGGAGGTGGAGCCAGGATCTGAAACAGTTCTATCCACCTGGTCTGAGCTCTTTTTTTTTTTTGAGACGGAGTCTTGCTCTTGTTGCCCAGGCAGGAGTGGTGCAATGGGTGATCTTGGCTCACTACTATCTCTGCTGCCCAGGTTCAAGCGATTCTCTTGCCTCAGCCTCCAGAGTAGCTGGGATTACAGGCACCCGAACCATGCCCAGCCAATTTTTTGTATTTTTAGTAGAGACGGGGTTTCACCATGTTGGCCAGGCTGGTCTTGAAATCCTCATCTCAGGTGATCCCGCCTCAGCCTCCCAAAGTGCTGGGATTACAGGCACAAGCCACTGCGCAGGCCCTGGTCTGAGCTCTTAATCACTGTCACTTATTCCCCGTGTTGATAGGCCTGTCTATCCCCTAAACTCCAGCCTCTTTAAGGGCTGTGTCCTTTTCCATTTTGTCCCCAGCCCCAAGCAGAGGGCCTTTATCTTGTAGGAATTCGATAAAATGGGAATCATAATCAGAAATTCAAATACTTTCTGACCAGGCTTCTTCTTGTTGCAAGTGCCAGAAATATAAATCAAACTGACTTAAACCAAAAAGAGATTTGTTGGTTCATGGAGCTGGGATGCCAAAGCATGAGCTGGAGGCCAGTTTCAGTTAATGTCATCTCTCCCAGTCCCAGCTATTTGTCTCTGCTTGGCTTTCTTCCATCTGCAGCAGGCTCCCCCAGCAGCTGAAACTGACTCCCTTCTCCTTTAGCAACCCCATTAATAAAATAACTTACCATGTGGCCATGTAGGGTGCCAAACACCATGATCAAGGACCACATGGCAGACAAAAACACATCCACCAGTTACGACTTGAAACATTTCTTTTAGAGATAAGGTCTTACTCTGCTGCCTAGGCTGGAGTACAGTGCTACAATCACAGCTTACTGTAACCTTGAATTCCTGGCCCCAAGTGATCCTCCCCCCTTGGCCTCACAAGTTGTTGGGACTGGTGATGTGAACCACGATGCCCGGCCAGCATTTATTTATTTTTCTTTTAAAATTTATTATTTGAGAAGGGGTCTTACTGTGTTGCCTAGGCTGGGCTTGAACTCCTCAACTCAAGCAATCCTCTTGCCTCCATCTCCCAAAGTGTTAGGATTACAGGCAGTGAGCCACCATACCTGGCCCCGGCCAGCATTTATTAACCAATTTAGTGCCAGGTTCTGAGCTCTGCTTTTCTCCAGTATCCGCTAACCTGGCGATTTTCAAACTTGGGAGAGCCTTAAAACCTGGGGTCAAGAATTTGCCTAACAAGTTCCAGGTGATGCTGATGCTGCTGGAAGGACCAATTCTAAGAATATTGCTCTAACTTTTTTTTTGTTCTTTTTTTGAGACAGAGTTTCGCTCTTGTTGCCCAGGCTAGAATGCAATGGCGCAATCTTGGCTCACTGCAACCTCCGCCTCCTGGGTTCAAGTGATTCTCTTGCCTCAGCCTCCTGAGTAGCTGGGATTACAGGCATGCACCACCATGCCTGGTTTATTTTTGTATTTTTAGTAGAGACGGGGCTTCTCCACGTTGGTCAGGCTGGTCTTGAACTCTCAACCTCAGGTAATCTGCCTGCCTTGGCCTCCCAAAGTGCTGGGATTACAGGTGCGAGCCACCGTGCCCAGCCCATTGCTCTAAGTTTTATTCTTAATCAGATCGCAGCAATGACATTACTTGGAAACTACTATTTAGAAATTAAAACTGACCGAACCTTAGGCTCCATTTCAGACCTACTGAAAAGATTTTAATTTTACAAGATCCCAAGTGTTTTTTGTATGCACGTTAGATTAAAAGGCCTAAGAGGAGAGAACTAAGAGCACAACCTGTAGCCTTGAAGGGACCCAACTTCCCATAGCAATACCCGCTCCTCAGGCCTGCACGAGCAACCAGCTAACAGACCTGAGGGAGTTGGGTGCAAGATTGGAGCACATCTGGGTAAGGCCCTCTACCTTGGAGATCTTCCTGAAGGGCTTTGGGGGAGGAGGCGGGGAGCCCTATCATGTCAGCCTACTCTTCCCCCTGCCTACCCTTGCAGGAACACAGCTGGTCAGCAGGGGTGTTTCCTCTTATGGGTTCAAAGGCTGGAGACTTCATCAGGCCAGGGGAAAGAGGCAGCCCAAGGGGTTGGGGCCTTGCTGGTGGATATGCAGCAGGAGGTGAATGTGCCCCTTTTAGAGGTGGAGTTCCACAGGAGACCTGGGCTAAATCCTGGAGACTAGAGGTCAGCCCCAAGAGTCCTACAAAGTGAAGAACCTTTTTTCCTGGCTGTCTCCCGAGGCCCTGGACCTGCTTAGGGTGACCTGAGGATTCTTCTTCAGGACAGAACATGGGTGGCTGATCCTCAACACACACACTTGTTCCCTCTACAGCTACAGGAGCAGGTTTCAGCCCAAGGTCTGGCTCAGCCTCATCCGCAACACAGCTGGGGGAGCTCCAACATTCACTAGCATTGCCCGTACACATCACCAACGGCATAGACAGAGGCATTATTGTGACACTCATTTTATAGCTGAAGAAACAGAGGCAGAGTCATAAAATAACTAAGGTACAAGGGAATAAATCCTTGTCACCCCACTGCTTGGCCCCACATCCTTAAGTCCCAACTGCCTACCCTGAGTACCTCCAACCCTAGTGTAACTGCAAGGCACAACTTGTCTAAAAAAATGACCAAAATGCATTTATTTAATATACATCACAAGGGCTCAACCGAGGCTTAATTTAAAAGACAAAACAAAACAAAAATAATACCACAGCTCAAGATAGAGTCCTATACAGAAATCACAAAAAGGACAGACCATCTAAGGAAAAATGAAAAAGATGACACAAGGACAGGCTGGGCAGCCTGGGTCAGGGCTCCTGGCTGGTGACCTGCTTTGAGTAGGTTTCTTGGAGGTACTTCTTAAAAGCTGGAAGAGAACAGGCAGGTCTCAGTGAGTGATGGAGACAGGATGAGTTAATTTTTACTATATTTAATTTTTTTTTCTTTTTTGAGACTGAGTCTTGCTCTGTTGCCCAGGCTGGGGTACAGTGATGCGATCTCGGCTCACTGCAACCTCCACCTCCCAGGTTCAAGAGATTCTCCTGTCTCAGCTTCCCAAGTAGTTAGGATTACAGGTGCATACCACCACGACTGGCTGGTTTTTTGTATTTTTTAGTAGAGACGGGATTTTACCATGTTTCCCAGGCTGGTTTCAAACTTCTGAGCTCAGGCAGTCCACCAGCCTCAGCCTCCCAAAGTGCTGGGATTACAGTCGTGAGTCATTGCATGCAGCCTATTGTTAATTACTATTATTACTGAGACAGAGTATCACTCTGTTGACCAAACTGGAGTGTAGTAGCATAATGTCCGCTCCCTGCAACCTCTGCTTCCTAGATTCAAGTGATTCTCCTGCCTCAGCCTCCTGAGTAGCTGGGACTACAGGTGTCCACCATCACCTTTTTTTGTATTTAGTAGAGACAGGTTTTCACCGTGTTGGCCAGCTGGTCTCAAACTCCTGACCACATGTGATCTACCTGCCTTGGCCTCCCCAAGTGCTGGCGTTATAGGCATGAGCCACTGTGCCTGGCCCAGGATGACTTAATTAAGGTGAGCAAGAGGGCAGCTTGACCAGGGATGCAAAGGTGGGAGGAGGCTGAGGAGGGGTGGGTTTCCCAGCCTGGCATTCTCCCTCTGCTGCCCACCCAGGCCGCTCCCTGGAAGGGCTTGCTTCCAGTGAGACCGGAGGGCATAGGCCAGGCAATCTACTAAGCAAACTGTTAACCTGCGTTAACACGGAAGGGGTTAATCCTACCTTCCTCCTTTTTGAGACAGGGTCTCACTCTGTTGTCTAGGCTGGAGAGCAGTGTTGCAATCATAGTCCACTGTGACCTTGAACTCCTGGCCTCAAGCTATCCTCCTGCCTTGGCCTCTCCAATAATTTCCCCAAATTATTTAGAGACAAAGTGTTTTATTTTGCTATAAAATAATTGCTATTTTATAGCAAATAGGAACACTGGGGCAGAAGCACAAGTGGGCTGCCACCGACACACCGCCTTCCCCAACCAAGTCACTGGGATCCATTTGTTCGAGGGAGCCTTTGACGGTTGGGGGAGGGATCACCCTGTACTCGAGGACTGAGGACTCACCTGTGGGGTTTTTCCAGAGCTCGGCAGCATGCGTGTTCAAGGGACTGTCAATGTTGGGTTCTATGGGTGGAGAGAAAGAGAAGGTCAAGGATGTAGAACAGGCTGACCCTGGGGAGTCCTGACAGACTCCCAGGTTGCATGGGAGGGGAAGAGGGTGGTCTCTAAAGTCACCTCCTAGCAGGCTCTGGATGGAGAGCAGAATGGTCCTGACGTCATACAGGGCAGACCACTTGTCCTTCAGGATGTCCAGGCATATGTTACCCTGGGTGTCCACATTGGGGTGGTAGCAGGGTGTGAGGAACTTCACCGTGGGCGCATTGTAAGGGTAGCCACTGGGGAACTCTAGCGAGAGCTTATACCTCAGGTCTTCATATACCTGGCATTTGGAGAAATAGACGCAGAGTAAGCTCCAGCAGTAGCCTTATATCCCAACCCAAGCCTCACATAAGGGGCTTGCTGGAGCCTTGAGTTTCTCTGGGAGTGGACAGTAGACAAACTCTTGAGCTGCTTCTGATGCTCCCCCTACCTTTAAAATAATTTTAAAAATTTTAATTTTAGAGACAGGGTTTCACCATGCCCAGGCCGGTCTCAAACTGCTGGGCTCATGCAGTCTGCCTGCCTCAGTCTCCCAAAGTGCTGGGATTACAGGCGTGAGCCGCTGTGTCTGGCCTGATCTTTCCTCTTACCTGGTGGAGACATCAGTGATTCTATAGTCTAAGAGTTGTAAATTGGCATCCTGTGCTTTAGTTCAATTAGAATATTAGTTGCTAATACCTAAAAATTGGATATTTGGCACAGATTTGGACTTCTGACTCATCTTAAACCTGATCTGCAGCAATGGGAAGCTGCCTTCTGGAGATCTGTGCCCTCCTACTGGCCAAAGTCCTCACTTCGTCCATTTCCGTACTGTCTGGCCACCTATAAACAGCCCTGCTTTAAACCCACCCTCTTATTGCAGGGGAAAAGAACAAGGCCACATGACTCAGAGAATGTGAACATCACAGGGGGTGTGTCTTGCCTGGCCAAAGGCTTTAAGCAGAGCTCTCACTTGGATCTTACCTCCCACCTTTCCCCAGACTCCGCAAAGCCACACTCACCCAACCCAGCCCTACACTTACTGTTCCAGCTGCTCCATGGATGGTCCCTACCCATTTGAAAAGGTTGTCTGATTCAGGAAAGGCAGAAATCCCTTTATCGCCAGACATCTGGGGAGGAAACACATTCGCTGGAGTGTGGAGTAAACTTTGGGGCATAGCAAAGGTCAGTGGGTGAGACCTTTCTCCTTAATCTTATATATATATATGTACACATATACTGTATATATATATGATATAAATGGGTTTACCCCATCTCTACCAAAATACACACACACACACATTTGCTCTGTAGTCCAGAATGGAGTACAGTGGCACGATCTCGGCTCACTGCAACCTCTGCTTCCCAGGTTCAAGCGATTCTAGTGCTTCAACCTCCCAAGTAGGAGGAATTACAGGTATGCATCATCACACATGGCTCATTTTTATATTTTTAGTAGAGACGGGATTTTGCAATGTTGGCCAGGCTGGTCTCAAACTCCTGACCTCAAGTGATCTGTCCACCTTGGCCTCCCAAAGTGTTGGGATGACAGGCTTGAGCCACCGCACCTGGTCTCCCCTTAATCTCATCACACTCTTATCCAAAGTAAAGCAACCACATTCACAGGCTAGAAATACCAAGAAGGGTGGCAAGTTGGGTGTGGGTAAACTTGGTTGGGGCCGGGAAGTAGGCACACACTGGACAGGCAGGGTCTTGTATGACTTCAGGCAAGTGCTTTAGAGATAACTTCGTGTAGGGGGATGGAATTGGGAGGAATAAACGGTGCAGGTGGGGTGTATGAACTTCTTCCCAGAAGGGAGCAAATTACATTCATCTTTTTATTCTTACGTCTAGCAAAAAAGCTGATGTAGGAAATGAGGCTACTGATAATTGGGTGGAAGGGTGGATCAGTCGGCTGGGGTTCTGGGCGCTTAGTCACTCACCATTAGGGTCATCAGCTCCTGCTGTAGCCTGCAAAAAGAGCATTGCGGGTTACCTGGGAGTCTGGATGGGCCAGGGCTCTAGATGGTGCATCTTCTCCCACCTGAATCTCTCAGGGGGAGCCGTCAACTTCTCCCTTACCCTGTCCCCGCCAAGTCACGAGCGTGTTTGCGCTGCCTTCATTTAGGCCCACTCAGGCAAGGAACCTGGCAGCGCTCCTACCCTCCCATCCTCCTTAGGGAGAACCTCAAAGAGCGATCTGAGCTCCTGGCGTGTCCCCCATCTCCCAAACTCACCCGCGCAAGGAGGTGGGAGTCCTGGAAGTCTCCGCCCTCGGCCCTCATGCCCAGGGGAATGCCAGGCTCCGAGCTCCTGGCGTGTTCTCCTGGACCCGCCTATCTCTTGCTCCAGAAGGAGGTTGGGGGTCCTAGAAATCTTTGCTTTGGGTCCCAATGCCTAGGGCATGGCAGGCCCGGCGAGTGGTACCCCGCATCACTCACCTTTTGCCCACGGGGCCCCGGGCGGCTCCCCCACTCGGCTCGGCTCCTTTACGGGCGGCAGCGACGCTAGTGGCGGCTGGGTCGCGGTTTTGGGAGGCCATCCGGGCGGCGCTGGCAAAGAGACAGGAACTCGGAGAACACGACTGCAACTGCAGGGCTGCGGGCCCGCCCGCCCGCGTTTGAATTGTAACCCTCTATGGGCATCGACCAATCAGTGGCTCGCTTGGGTTTGATCCAGCCAATGGGACGCGCCGGAGCGCTCTGTCGTGCGTCACTACTAGACCTACCCACCGGCGCACCAGTATTGGGCGGCAGGATCTCGCTTCTGACAGCCGATTGGTAGACGAGGCTGCCATTAACTAACGAATCCGTAGCACATTGGTGACCTTTGGAAAACGCTGACCATTAAAGGGCCAAGAAAACGTCCACGTGGGATGAACTCTCCTTAAGGAGACAAGCCTTACTCCGCCTGGGAGCATCCAGCACGCCCAGCCCTTGATCCCATCTACGTCGGGAAGGGAGTGCCTCCAATCTTGCCACACTGATACCCTTCCCCCAAACTGGAAACCTCTGCTCCTCCCTACTGTTTAATAGTCTGGGCACCTTTGCTGGGTCCTCAGTATCTGAAAATCCCGGCGAGGGGAAAAACTAGAGGCTGATGGCCAGAGCAGCAGGCTTCCTATTAGAAAACGTAGGTTCATACATCTCCGCAGTAGACAGAAAAAAAAAAGACAACATTGGTTCAGGCTGGGCGCAGTGGCTCATGCCTGCAATCCCAACACTTTGGAAGGCCCAGGCAGGAGGATTGCTTGAACCCAGGAGTTCGAGACTAGCCTGGGCAACATAGGTAGACCTGTCTCTACTTAAGAGAAAAAAAAGAATAGGCTGGTGAGGTGGCACAAGCCTCTAGTCCCAGCTACTGGCAAGGCTGAGGAGGGAGAATCACTTGAGGCAGAGTCTTCACTCTAGCCTGGCCGACAGAGCAAGACACTTGTCTGCAAACAAACAAAAACCTCAGTAACACAGGTTCATATCCTGTATATCCTACCTCTCCAAAGGGTATTGTGTGACCTTGGGGCAGATCCTTTAGTATCTTAACCTGTAAAATGGGAGCAATAAAACCCAACTCTATGCCGGGCGCGGTGGCTCACGCCTGTAATCCCAGCACTTTGGGAGGCCGAGGCGGGTGGATCACGAGGTCAAGAGATCGAGACCATCCTGGTCAAGGTGAAACCTCGTCTCTACTCAAAATACAAAAAATTAGCTGGGCATGGTGGCGCGTGCCTGTAATCCCAGCTGCTCAGGAGGCTGAGGCAGGAGAATTGCCTGAACCCAGGAGGCGGAGGTTGCGGTGAGCCGAGATCGCGCCATTGCACTCCAGCCTGGGTAACAAGAGCGAAACTCTGTCTCCAAAAAAAAAAAAAAAAAAACACCCAACTCTATTTTTTATATGGTCTGTCATCAAACCCCACAGGATTAGCCATCACAGTCTGCCATGTTCTTACATTAGCTGGGTAAAGAAACTACACACCGGGACAGGAAAGAGGGGCAAGGTAATTGGTACTCCCTGCTTGGTTTCATCAAGCCTGGGTCTATACTGTTATGGGTGAGGTTATCTTGTCCTTTTTTCCTACACCCACTTCTAGAGCCCTTGATGTTCTGTCAGTTCCCGCAAGACTGAGGGCACAGCAGGTTCACCTTCTGTGTTTATTACAAACTGTTTAATTGCTCCTCATCCCAATAACTTTACAAATAAAGAACCACATGCCAGTCTGGGGGTGCTGTGCAGTGAGTCACTACAAACTTGCTCAGGCACAGCTTAGTGCCACTGAGATCCATCTAGGAGCAGTCCCAGTGGTGGCCTCAGCCGTGTGAGGAAGAGGGCTTTGAAGGATTGCCAAGTGTGGCCAGGGGACCCAGCCTCAGGTCTGTGGTGGTGCTTCAACAGCACGATGCTCATTCTCTGTCCGTAGTGTTTCCATATACTTTCTCATCTTCTCCACCATCCAGGAGGGTAGGACAAAGGATTTCAATTCTTCTAGCTTCAGGTCCAGGCATCCTCTGGAACAGACAATGAAGAAGGAAATTGGGGGAAGTGAAGATGTAGGTCCTGCCTCATCCTAGGGGCTACTTTGAGGCAGGGGGAGAAGGGGCAAGAGGCCCACTGGTTTTACCTGTAGTCATCACTGGCAGCAAGGTCCCGGATGTCCTCCTCGATGAGGAGGTAGGCCTGGGGCAGAAGCAAGGGAGAGTGGTCACTGCCTGATTCATTTCACTCCAACTCAGTAACACTTTGTTAAACATCTGCTTAATGTAAGGCCTGCTACTAGGTGGAAGAGGGGGATGTGCTCTGCAATTTGGCGAGGAAGAGTAAGTGGGGAGAGATGGGAATGGCTCCTTGAGACAATCTTCTACTAAAGTAGATGCTTTATGGGTGGGAGAGTAGGGAATGGTGACTTATTTATAGCCTCCTCTTTTAAAAAATGACCCATTTCTCTCTTGAATGATGTGGAGAAAAAATTTAAAAAGGGACCCACCATTGCTCCTCCACCTTTTGGTTAAGATCAAGTGTATAAAAGGACCCAAGATTGGTTATAACAAAATAGCAAAGAATGTCAGCAAAATATACATGGAAACAGGAAATTGGGAAGAGGAAACCATATGCTCCCTCTGAGGACAAAGATAACTTGGTTTAGAACTTTGTAGCAAAATGGAAAACATGATAACTGCTCTGCTGTCTAGTAATTGGCCTGTATTGTACTGGGGCCTGTAGAAATGCTTTGTTACAATGCCTCAATCTACAGTGGGTGAGGGCCCTTTTGTGAACGTTAACATATAAAAAGAGATGTTTGTCACATTAGAAAGCCTTCTGTGGGGCTGGGTGTGGTGGCTCATGCCTGCAATCCCAGCACTTTGGGAGGCTGAGGTGGGAGGATCACCTGAAGTCGGGAGTTCGAGACCAGCATGACCAACATGGAGAACACAGTGAAAGGGTGAGGGGGCAGAGGGAGACCTAGGAACAGGGAAGGGAACCTGAGGATTATAATGTGCTCTTCAGCATGAAGAAATGGGCCTTATAAGTCTCTCTTCTCACATTGGTCAGGCTTTGGGAGTCAGATTTGGAGGTAAGCTGTCACCCACAGCCAGAATCCTGATTCCTAGGTGGGGTGGGTCCCTGGCAATAGCACATGTGAATAATGCTTACCATCTTGCCCCCTGTTGCCCGCATGTGATGCTGCTCAGCCAGCCAGTGCTTGTCCTGGGGGTCAGCTGCATACTGTGAGATGAAGTTGTAGGAGCATTAGCCTCAGGTAAGGGGTTCTTCTCATTTGGTCCTAGAGCATTACTCTTGCCCTTTGAGCAGTCCTTACCAAAGTCCTTGTCTGCTAGCGTGGTGGATGTAGAGGGCTCATTAATCTCTTCACAGCAAGCCCAGCCAAGCCCAGAGGGCAGACCATGGGACCCAATTCCCAGAGACTTAGTATACTCCCAATCCCCAGTCCCTCTGTCAAAACGAAGCACCCTAGCAGCTGGCGGGACTGATAATTATTATTTTAGAGCTTCCTCTTTTAAAAAGTGACCTGAGGTGGCTTATAATGTCTGTAATTATTATGGTGATGATAATAAAGCAAAAATTAGGACACCTCAGGTACTGTCAGATGCAGAATAGCATCATGGTTAAGAACCCAGTTTTGGAGTTACAAATAAGTTTTGTTTATTTATTAAGACATAGTCTCACTCTTGTCCAGGCTGGAGTGCAGTAGCACTATTGCGGCTCACTGCAATCTCCACTTGCTGGGTTCAACCTATTCGTCTGCCTTAGCCTCCTGAGTGGCTGGGATTACAGGCGTGTGCTACCATACCTGGCTGATTTTTGTATTTTTAGTAGAGATGGGGTTTCACCCTGTTGGCCAGGCTGGTTTTGAACTCCTGGCATCAAGTGATCCACCCACCTCGGCCTCCCAAAGTGCTGGGATTACAGGCATGAGCCGCCATGCTCGGCCCAAATAAGGCTTAACTTCAGGCTTGTAGGCCGGGTTTCTTTGCACCTGGCTGAGAAACTGTGTTTTGGTCTCTATTACCTCCTGTGTATTGTCCGAATCTTTTTACAACAGGAATGGGTTATTATTTCTATAATCAAAAAGTTTAAAAATGAAAAATATTTGAATAACGTCTTCTGAAGGACAGAAAAATGGGCCACAGATAACAGGCAGCTTACAGAAGAAATACACATAGATTCTAAATGACTGAAAAGATACTTATAATCACTAATAGAGAATTGTAAAGTTGGGCCAGGAGCAGTGGCTCATGTCTGTAATCCCAGCACTTTGGGAGGCCAAGGATGTTGATCATTTGAAGTCGGGAGTTCGAGATCAGCCTGGCCAATATGGTGTAAACCTGTCTCTACTAAAAATATAAAATTAGGTGGGCGTGGTGGCACATCCCTATAATCCCAGCTACTTGGGAGGCTCAGGCAGAATTGCTTGAACCTGGGAGATGGAGGTTGCAATCAGCTGAGATCACATCACAGCACTCCAGCCTGGGCAACAGAGGGAGACTCTGTCCCATTAAGAAAAAAAAAAAAGAGAGAATTGTAAAGTGAAACAACAAAACAAATTTTCTCTCCAGTTATTGGACTGGAAAGATTAAAATGAGAGGTAATAACCACTGGTAATGAGAGTGTGAACTGGGAGTTTATTACAAATGGTGGATTTTAGAGTTGGGAAATTATGCTAATAATAATTAACATTTATTGAGCCCTTACTGTGTGCCAGGCATTATGCTAAGTGCTTTACTACACTCTGTTAGTTAACCTTGGTCTATCACTTTTCCCATCTTATAAAGAACAAAAACAGACTCAGAAATGTGGATCAATTCCCAGACTTGAGCTAGTTAATAAAAGGAAAAAGAAATATGGAGCCATTTGTTCAAGTTCATGCAGCCAGCAATGGAATGAGGCCTGAAGCCATATTTTTAACCATGTTGAAATGAGAATTCAAAGTAGGTCCAAGAGCGTATTGATTTTGGGGATGATACAAAGAAAGCTCTTGGAGGAGGTAGATCTTAAAGAATAGTCAGGCAGATAAGCATGGGAGAGGAAGCCACCCAGGTAAAGGGAATAGCAAGAGTGATGACATCAAGAGAGGCAAACAAGGAAGGAGCCACTGGGCAAACTATTTAAGTGTTGGGATGCGAGGATATAAGACTGGAGAAGA